GACTTATCTCACTGCTCAACAGTGAAGGAAAACATCGTGAGGAAACCTGCATGTTTTTGAAATAATAACGAAAAAAAAAATTTTGAAAGTATGTGAAGTCCGCCAATCTGCAGTAGGGCCGCCCGGTGGATTATGCCCTGATACCCTCTGTAATGAGGGGGTCTCGCCCTGCAGTGGTACATTTAAAGGCTGTTACTTTTTTTTTTACTTTTGAAATGTTAGAAACAGTGGATTTCTTCATAGGCGGGCCAAATGTGGGCTGCAAATTAGTGGGGTTTTTTTTGTAGCGTTCCTCACCTTTCGCCTCTGGCTTCTTTGCGTTGGCGATATTCCATAAAAATTATAACAAATAAAGCGGGCCTGATAAGTAGGTACCATTCGTCGGCTCCATAATATCATGTACTTTCTTTGTTTAATTTTTTGTGCCTTCCAGCGAGTCTTTTTTCTTAATCTTTAATGAGCCTTGAGCGACCAACGGACAAATCTGTCACAGTTAAGGAATATAGATTTGGTTAGGCTAGGATATTCGGATATTATTTTTCTTTGGGATTTGGAAATTATATTTGTTTTTTGTCACTGACTCACATCTTGTATGTGATATTTTTTTTGTAATTAAGATACTTATTTAATAGCACGTCTTTTGGAAATGAAAATATTTTAAGACACATTTTTACACAACATTCTCTAGTTCCAAACTAAGCAACGCTTGTAGTATGGGTACTAGAACACTAATAAAATACTTATAAGTACTTTTCTTTTGCAAATAAATACACATTTTACATATATAAATACCCAGACACTGGAAAAACGCATGTTCATCACACAATAGTATTGTTTGCGGATGATACCTCTTTAATCTTTAAAGTAAACCGACGTTCTTTAAGTTATGACGATGTAAACAATTCTCTATCTACTGTAGTACATTGGTTTAGTGCTAACAATTTACTGTTGAATAATAAAAAAACTAAATTTATTTAATTTACAACTTCCTCCAATGTTAAACATGTAAAAACTGATGTACTTTTATATGGGGAAGTGTTGGACCCTATTGACTCAACTGTATTCCTTGGCATAACTATTGATGCCAAACTGCAATGGGGCCCCCATATTAATAAACTGGCGAGCTCAGCAGCTTTCGCGGTCAAAAAAATAAGACAGTTAACTTATGTAGATACGACTCGCTTGGTATATTTTAGTTATTTTCACAGTATAATGTCTTATGGCATTCTGCTTTGGGGTAACGCGGCCGACATTAATACAATCTTTATCTTACAAAAGAGAGCTATTCGTGCAGTTTACAATCTGGGCCCCAAAGAATCGTTAAGAAACTTGTTTAAAGAGAAAGGTATTGACTGTTGCTGCTCAATACATTTTTGAAAATGTTTTGTATGTCCATAAAAATAAGGATAAATTTTTAAGACATAATAATGTTCATGATATAAATACTAGGAACAAAAATAATTGATCCTACCCACAAGTAGACTCCGTAAAATAAGTAAATCTTTTATGGGACAATGTATACGTTATTACAACAAAATTCCAGAAAACGTTCAAAATGCATCAATAGCTAAATTTAAAAAAAAATAGTAAAAGAACGTTTGTGTGTTAAAGGCTACTATAATATTAATGATTATTTAAATGATAACACACTCTGGTAATGAACTGATCGCTCCAGGCTCTTTCAATCGGAGTTCTTATATTGTATTCTAACGAATTTATGTCAAACCGCTTATTTAAAAAAAAAAAAGCCCGCTGAGTCTCTTTCGCCGGTTCTTCTCAGTACAGTGGCTTTCTTTTCCGAACCGGTGGTAGTGTTTTGACTATCAATAAGTGAGTGTAAAGCTCCTATGTTGAATAAATACATTTGATTTTGATTTTGATTGATTTTGACAATATTTCTCCAGTAGCTGGGATCGAACTCAAACTTTGACGCAGAGGTATCCACTACAAAAGAATTAGTCTAAGTAAGGTATCTGATTCCTGTTCTTCATACTTGAAGTACGTTGTCTAACTTATTTGCGACCTGGTAGATTATAAGATATCATTAATCAGTGGGAATGAACAGTTTAAATTTTATGAAGATACCTTAAATGATTATCGATTAGCTGACGTTTATTGTCGTGTAGTCGCATCCGTTGCGGATCGTGTGTGCGTGATCGCATCTGTTTGCGAAAGTACATTTTAATAGTTTAATTTTTTTTTAATTAAATTAAATCGGTCAAAATATTGTGAAAGATTATTGCACTTTAAACTTTGATTTAATTTTTTACAATAAGCTATTTACGCTTAAACGTTTATTTCAATCAGCCAAAGTTTAAAGGTTTTGATGTTGCAATAACCATATCATGATTTTTTTCTAAATACCCCGTAGTCTATACCAAATAAAGCTATATCTCATTATATCAGAATCACTCATATTTATGTCCCCATATTAACAAACTTTAGGTCAAAATCAAAGTAACCTATTTATATAGTATGTAATATCAAAATAATCAAAATAATATCTCACAATTAGGATTTTTAGGCTTCTTCATACTTCAGCCAAATAGTTAAAAATTCACTGCATACAGCGCCTTAACATCAGTCAACTATAGTCACCTTCTTTCAATTGAAACGAATTTTAGACGAGACAAAATATTTATTTCTAAAATGCAACATGCGTTCGTTCATTGAATACAAAAAATATAAAAAAGTATTTAGAAACAAAATTGACGCATTCGATAAGGCACTTAATTTATATGGCGGTTTATTTCTTAAAAAACAATTAATACTTTAACTTAATACCTAGCAAGACTTTAATATAGTTGTTTTGAAACAAAAAATAAATAAAAATTACTATCATTATGGCTTTTGAATCCATGTTTACATTGTTATTATAGCTCTATCCTAAGAGCGCAGCAAGTTATATCATTTAAAAGTCAAATAACTTAAAATGCATGTACTCCAACATAATATAATATTCACCTGAAGAAATTATATTTAGTATTATACGGAAGTAGGCGTTATCATATAGTACAATGTATTTGTGTAAATATAAAAAAAAACCTGACTTCAAACAGGAAACTTATAAAACATTGTCAACGCCTATAACATTTGAGCATTGCCCTATATTTCTCTGGGATGCCATCATCAGATCTGGGTTTCCTTATGATGATACCACCCATGGGATATCTCCTTTCCAACAAAAAAAGAATCATCAAACTCGGTTCATAAATGACAAAGTTATCTGAACACAAATAAGAAAAAATATAAATATATACGGTCGGATAGAGAAACCTAACCTTTTTTTGAAGTCAGTTAAAGATTGATAACAAAAGTTCAGTAGCATCCTTTTAGTAAAGTTGTTTATATCAATTAACCACTAATCCAGTTGTAGTCAGTTGTAAGTTTGGTGCTATAATAACAACCATAAAACAGTTATGTCAATGCAAACATGGTTTTAATAAATTATGTTTTAATAACTAAAATAAAAACTCCTTATTACAAAATGGCAGGTTTTGTACAAGGGTTTGGCACTTGTGAGAATTTATAAAATTATTCATTATTCTGATTACTCACATGACTTTGAATACATCTATATTAAGGTTCCATAACTAAATAAATATAATATTCGATATTCTTTGTTTGTAAATTTTTGCCTAGCATATATGTGAATCAAATTTCTTTTAATGTTAGAGCTACTCTCATGACCTTAAAACAGAGGCCATAAAAATTGTAAAGCCAAATTTTACAATTAGCTTAGAATGAAATTGGACGGATAAAAACCATTACAGTAAAGTACCAGATCTTTTAAAATACCATGCTTGTAACAGTGGTTTGATTGAATAGTGTAATTTTCCAAATATTTTTTACATATTATTTTAAACAACATTTATAAAAATAATTTATACATATTCAGTATCCTACATGTTATACATATGTAATCATAACAATAATAAATTTGTCACTTTGCACGTATTTGATTAATACCAGTTTATTAAATGTTATATAAAGTAAAAATCAATTAAAACATACTGCTTTAGAATGTTCTAAATACTATGCTGTCGTTATTTTTGTGTCAATGGCCTATTATAGGTACAAAAATGATAAATTAGACTATAATAAAACATGCATATTACATCCATATTTCTAGTGTGCGCTCATTTTGATTCAATGTTCAAAATAACTTTTCAGAGGATAAGAAAAAAATTTCAAAACTCGAGTCTTAGCTCTACTACCGACTAGTAGACCAGAGCACAAGCACAAAAGGACATTAAATAAAGAATAATAACAAATAATTAGTATGAACATGAAATAACTTCCAGGAGAATCAATCAGTACAGTGCATAATTAAATATAAAAAATCAAATCAATGACTCCTAGAGAAAATAATATAAACTATTCCTAAATCAAACTGATTAATTATTTAATAAAACCTTGGCTCATCTTGGTTTTGTGATTTTGTGTTGTGCAATTGTTCTGTTGATTAGACAAAACTTTTAGATTTTTGTAACATTCTTACATTTTGGGTCAGCACTGGGAGAAGAAAGACTAACCTACTAGTAATTTAGTTTCAAAAGATATAATTCTCTAGAAGTTCTGGTAGTGATGCAACAGATCTCTGTTTGTTGTCTGTTGTGCAAGTAATTTTTTAATCTGTTTCTACTTCTGTTTACGCAATTACATAACGGAAATATGTCGCGATGATGCGTGGTTTAGGACTTAATATAACATACTTAACTTTAACTTAACTTTCAATGTTAAACATTAATAAAAATAGAGTATTTTTTCATATTCACAATTCCGGTTCCGCATCAGTTCTGATTCCGTATCCGCTTGGATTTTATTTTTCTAATATTTTCTGTTTCAGCTTCCGTTACCTAACTTCTGTTGCATCACTAATTTCTTGTCTGTGAAATGTTGCTCCATTCACCAATTGCTTACTGATACACATTTTAGATTTTAATAAAAAATCTTGTCATATTATAAATTAATGAAATGAGAACATTTTCAAAATATTATACAGATTGAGCGTCAACATCCTCCCCATAGTCTAAATCATCATAGTTCAGGTCATCTTCCAGGGAGTTGACCGCAGTCTCCTTACCACCAGGACAAGATAAACACCTGGAAATGAGATAATAATTTTACTTAAAATTTGTCCATGTTGTGTTGTGTTTGTGTTTAAACCATTTCCATATAAGGGGCATTCTACATGAATTGGACAGGTAAAAATATTGATGTTTTTGATTTTAAACATCTTTACAAAATACTATGAAATATTTACTTGATCCGAATGCAAATTGCCCATCCAAAGGAATCTATTATCCATAAACTAGTAACTTCTACTACAGTATATCTATATAAAATTATCGTGTCACAATGTTGATTGCCATACTTCTCCGAAACGGCTTGATCGATTTTTATGAACGGGCCTGCCCAATGACTGTTGCGTGGTCCTACCGCCGTAAAATTGTTTTGTTGTCTTCTTGTATCTTGTATTAACTGATGTGTTGTGCTTTCAGTCCCGACACTATTAAAGCTTCATCTGACGCAGAGCCGGAGGGCTAGCCAGAATCCACGGGTTTGGGCCCTTCGCTGCGGGTAGGGCTGCGCGTGTGTTCATGCGTGCGTTTAATTATGGTACGTCATCTAAGGGCTATCGAGGTTGTGGCGCGGACCGGTGTTAGCTAATCGGTGGTTGACGTTCGCGTTTGTGTCGGGTTGGTAATTTGCTGTTTGTTGTCGTAAACCCGTTTGGTTTCCACTTTCTCATATTAAAAAAAAACTCGGATGTTCTGTGAGGTTGTAGTATTTTCCCCGTGATACATCTCCCGAAGGAACTGCCCTTTCGTAATCCTATCTTTGTAGCGTAGACGTCATACATGGTCGTCAAATAGTTTATATAAGGAAGAATAAATAATCCTTGGCGCTTTTTTTTTATAAATATCTGGTTCCAAAGCTAAGTTTCTGTCATTAAAAATACCTGTATACTTAGTATCTTTCGATAAACTTTACGCAAGACTGGAAGGAAATGTATTTCATGCCAACACTTTACATTTCAATTGAATAGTTTATTATTTTCTTTGTTTATAAATGCTTTTTCTTTTAATACTATAAATACATATTCATCTTCTTTATCGGAAAAGTATGAAATTTGCCAACACGCACCGGCCCAGTAGGAACAATTAGGACCGACACCGATTTAAACATATCGATTCGAGCTAAAGAACACTGTGAATATTAAAGAAAATATATTACTTGAGAAGTGATTTACATAGAGATAAGATTCAGCACGATAGTATACATTTCCAATATAAATACATAAGCTTATAAGTAAACATTAATATAATATTTAAATCGTAATATTTTTAAAACAAAGACGTATTATTAAAAATTACGACACATGGCCAATTTGGAATGCCGTAAAATTTAAAATACGCTATTAATGGGCGACACCTGGCGGTAACTTGATATGCGTTACGCGATGTTTATTTGCACGGATCTATATGCTAATTAATAGTGGCCTTGTTTGTCAGGTGTGCGCACCGGTTTGTATTAATAATAATAATAATAACTAGTATTAGATTGTTCGAAGATAGTTTTATTTCTTGTATTCGGAATAAAATCTATGCGTTATCTTAAATGCGAGTAATATCACCTACGGGCCACGGGTCACCACGATGGCCGCCGACTGTTTTCATCGGTGGTTAGAGGCGGTAAGAACCGTGCTGGATCGCGGGCGTATTTTGTATACGCGTTTTATTGTACGATTATAGTAAGCAAGATGGTGGTTCACCTGATGTAAAGTTACCGCCGCCCATGAAAAGACATTTGAATCCCCCCAGATAACACTACACATACACAATTGGTGTAACAGCAAACACCATAGTTCGTAACACTACTATCGGACAATCGATGGCGACACTCCTTAGCTAAGGCACGGATGAGCACATGCGGGGCTCTACCCATTGTAAGGATTTGAGGACCAGCCCACCGGTTCTGCGTTCGATGAAGCTTTAATAGTCTCGGAACCGAAAGCGTTAACATCAGTTAATACAAGTTTAAAGTTTATTTAAGTCCAAAGTAACAATATACATTTGATAAGTATTTCCAATAATCAAATTAACAGAACATTCGGACTGCAGCAGTAGACAAAACAAGATGTAACTTGTAGTCCTCACACTAGGCCTAGCCTGTGAGAACCCACTCTTGAAGTGTTTGTTTACATATACGATTAAAGCAGTGCGTGGTGAAAGCAAAGAAACAAAAAAATTATTTAATATAAGAGACAAGACATTTGCAACATCCGGAAGATTCCAAATCGACTGTCCATCTTTTAATAAACTGGGCCTCGATTACCTCACTCATCGGACGTAAGAAGAATAACCCTTCCACTTCACGCCTGTCTTGTGACATCGTGGTACTTCCCCGGATGGATTTTTCTTTTTATGTGAAATGTTGCCAAACGAGCAGGTGGTTCACCTGATGTTAAGTGAATACCGCCACCCATGGACATCCGCTACAGCTGAGAATTTGCATGTGCGGTGACAACCTTTTGATAATTGAAAATGTGGACCTGCCCATTCGTGAAACGGGAGACTGTTGCGTGGCCCTACAACAGTTACAAGTATTAGACGAATTAATATGTTGTGTGTTAGCACTATGTGTATGTCCGACGTACCTATGACCCCTTCCTCGACCTTTGTGGCGTTGCCAATCTTTGTAAACGGGTTGATAATTCACCGTTTTCACTACTGATGTTTGTTACCTATTCAGGCCTACCTCTCTGATTCAGTTTGTTACCTATCGGAGGTACCTCATCAGGGTCAGTAGGAAGAATTCACGGTCGACGATTGAACGCGAGATTAGTCTTTAGTTATATATTTGCCTCTATAGTATATGAACTTTTAGCAACAGAAACAGCACACTGGAACTGGTATATATTAAACTAAAGGTGCTTGATGGCCATTGTATGAATACGCCATGGTGAGATCTATTTAAATCAAACTCGATCGCGTATCGTGAGTCAGTGCGTCGGCTAACATCAACACACGGGTCAGGTGGCGTCGTTACCTGCTCTCGTTGATTCCGTAATACAGGCACTTCTCGCCGATGCACTCGCAGCAGCCGTCGTGGAACCATCTGGAAGCGTTAACTTTATATCAAACGCTTTTTTACACATATGAATAAAAAGTTGAATGTGTTCTAAATTTAAAACAAAACATGAATTAACCTTCCAGGTTAATGAACGCTTCCTTTATATGAGACGTAAACGCAAAGTTTTCGGACGATCAACGAAAAACATTGTGTTGGCGGACGTTTATTCTGTACATGTATTCAATAATGTAAATAAATGTTAGTGGCTAATCAAGCATGATGACTTACTAGCGATGAAAAATTTTACGACAGTTTTATACGGACATTTTAAAATTTCACGAGAGTAAATGGTATATACATTAATGACAACAGTGCTTGCAGGATTAAGAAATGAAGTAATATTTGTTAATAAAAAGAAATAAAGTAATAAATTCAAAAATAGACACTGATTAGAACTGAGATTATCTTATGAAAAAGGCACACAAAACAGACCAAAGAAAGGTCACAATAAGTGAGATATAAGTTGGTCGTCATTTTGTTATTTAAAAATAATTTGACGCGATCACTGCTTTTATTTATAACATCTGCATTTAGTAAAATCTAAATCGTGGTTTTAGGTAACAGTAAGAGTATCTTTAGGTAACAGTGAGAGTATTTTTAGGTAACAGTAAGAGTATTTTTAGGTAACAGTAAGGGTATTTTTAGGTAACAGTGAGAGTATTTTTAGGTAACAGTGAATGCATTTTTAGCTACATAAACGATCGTAAAAATCGTCTAGTGAAACGCTACTCCGAACTTTACTTCCCAAACGCAACGTAATACGTGAAGCGAAGAATATCGACACGGTGATAGCATTCGTAACCCTCCGGTGTAGTGTTGAAACGAAACGGAAGATTTGTGTCGTTTTCCGCTTCCGTAGTAGATACCCTCAGTTGGTCCGTCAAATATAACCGTCCGTCTCCGTCTTACAAACTTTTTAACATAATTCGTCGCTTGCTAGGCCAAAACTACAACTTGCGAAAAACACCTCAGAAAGGGGGGAGTGGCTGAAATTCAGCGCTGGTCGGAACTAGGTACTGTCCCGATCAGCACAAGCTGAGCCGCCTCCTTTTGCCTTTATTGTACTATATGTAGTTATATGCATTCTTAATTTTAAAGTTAAGATTAAGAATGCATGTTTAGTTATAAATAAGGCAATAAAGTGATTTCTATTTATTATTTGCTAGCTGCTGCCCGCGACTATGTCAACGTAGAATAGGCTGGATGCGTAACATTCCGACAGAAAGACAGATATACATAAAAATATGTATATAAACTATCGCCTATGTGTAATTATGATGTATAAACTATATTATTGTTAAGTTTCATTAGAATCCATTCAGTAGCATTTGCGTGAAAGAGTAACGAACATCCATACCATACATACAAACATTCGCGTTTATAATATTAGTGAAGAAGTAAGGATTTTTATATGATCTGAATGGAGCGCGTACCTGAAGCTGTTTGAGCCCATCGATCTGCACGAGGCGCGGCACTTGTCGCACGACATGCACTGCGACATGTACGCAACGGTGCAGTTGAAGGTGACCACGTCGCGGCTCACTGGCTCGGATTCCTGCTCCACGCTCTCTGCAAAGAAACTTAATGCTAAATATCGTTTTTCCGAACGAATCCGATACGCATAGACATGAAACATGCTCTTGGTAATTCCTATCAGCCCAGGTAGCTACTTCTAAATGTATTGTTGAACATTACTCGATGTTTCTTGTAATCCTCTGTACGTTGCCCTGAAATACCGATGCTACATTTTGATATATTTTCTTGCTATCGCCTTCCAAACTATTTAGTAGTTCCAAATTAGATTTCAATAATTAAAAAAAAAAAAACATTTCTTGGAACGCTGATAAAAACAAATAGTTTAGATTGTTTTTGTCTTCAACAGTCTTTTGTGGTACTACGAAAATTGATAACAAAAAGCAGTTTAATGTTTAGAAACTGGTAAAAATTCTCGGGCTCAGAAGGAATTATGTTAAAATACCGTAAGCTACCTTTAAATGGCTTCTTAGAATTTTGATAAACCATTATCCTATTGAAATAAATAACGGTCTTTGGTAGAGGTAACATTCGATTTTTTTTATGTGCATATTGGCATCTTGTTCATGGATCCGATATTTGTATCAGGTAGACGAGATCTTGCATTCCTATGCGTGAGTCACTCTGTATAACGGTGATTTCGTTCCCACTTCCCCCTACTTTCAAGAAATGAAAACATTTGAAATTAAAAAGGATACAATTTTGAATATTAACAATTAGTCAATTTTAATCCATCATGAAACAAAACAACGAAAGAATAATTTCGCACCGTTATACTTATAGGTACTATAAAATAGTTACAATTTCCTTACGCCTATTTTATAAAAATTTTCTAATCTAATTAAATCTTGTCGCTTCAAATAAAAATATATCATAATAACAATAAAAACGACGATTTTTTTATGTCTTTTTTAATTGCTAATTAAATGGTATATTTAAATCACTCATTAAGCCTAATGAAATATAATCCAAGAAATTATTAAGTGAGAAGGTGGGAAAAGAGCTGGTGGTTCACCCGATGTTAAAGCCACGCAGCAGCCTCGGCTGTTGCACGGATGGACAGGCTCGTCCGGGTAAGTACCACGACCTCACAGAAGACCGGCGTAAAGTGGAAGTATGACAAATACTTTCGCGTTTCGAGAGGTAGCCGGGGGTTGTCAACGCAAAACCCTCGGGTTTGCAGATGTCTATGGGCGGCGGTATTCACTTAACATCAGGTGGACCGTCTGCTCGTTTGGCAACTTTTCACATAAAAAAAAAAAAGAAAAAAATGATAACCACCGCCTATTGTCACTTGCAACGCCCGCAAGGTTTCAAATTGCCACCTTATAATAAAGTGAACTTCGGCTACCTCAATCACCAGACGAAATGCAGAAGTATAACTCTTCACTTCACGCCGCTCTTCTGTGACGTTGTAGTACTTACCCGGACAGACCTGTCCGTTCATGTAACAGAGGGGGGCCAGGCTGTTGGGTGGCCCTACCATAGTACCACATTTTAAACAACTTTTGAAATTTTTACAGCATATATTTTAAAAATGAACTAGCCCTTGCTTTTAATACTTACAATCTGATTATAAACAGTGGTGTAGTGTTTAACGGTGAACTTATTTGTATGTAAGTTGCCATGGAGTATACCATAAAAAGATGTCCTATTGTAAGTAGTTTTAAAGATCTAAGCGTACATAGGGACAGACAGACAGCGTGAAAACTTTGTTTTATACTATGTAGTGATGCACAGCAAAGAGACGTTTGCATTTCAAGTGACATTTTATCTCAGTCACTCACTTCCCGGAACCCCTCCACTAACACTTAAACTTTATGGTATGGTATTAAGGTTCAAATTGACTTTTAAGTATTATTATGATTCTTTTGTATTGGAATATAGAAAAGCATTGTTTTTAAAGTTTTTCAGGCAATTTTTAAAATTTTTCTCTCTGTAAGAACCATCTTCCTACTTCAAGGAATATCATAAAATAATAATTAGCGAAATCGGTCCAGATATTCACGTGTGATGGCATGACCAAGGGAAATAGGGATTCACTTTTTTATATATAGATACAATAAAATTACTAACTAAAATTATTATTTAAAATTAAAACTACTAAATGCAATAATATAATATACTGTCCAAACTAACTTCAATAGCTATCAAACATAAGCCTGGCACAATTTTAAGTGACAACCCTTTTGCAAAATATATTTTTACTTACGTAAATGATACACCAATTGTCTCTCTGGGTTTCCTGGTCTATATGCAGAGAGGTCTATATCAACTGGGTATGTGATAGATAACCATCTTTGTTGTGGATCAGGTTCACTGGTCAAAGCAGTAAATAATCCAGGCACTCCATCAGCAAGCTCTTCCACATGGGATGATTTAGACAACTCTGTTTGTGTGTCATTAGGTTTAGGGCACATATCTGTAGATAGTTTAATAAATAGGTTTAGTAAATACAAGTTTTCAAAAAGAAAAAATATTACAAGCCAGTTTTGAAAACACTAATCTCAGACACTGAAAGCTCAATGTAAGTACTGACAAATCTTTTGATGCAATGTTATGGCATTATTATAAGGTGCATCAAATAGTAACATGCAACGATTTCAGCAGTAAGACTGAATTGGTATTTTAATAGGTATGGTAAACGTATGGTGCAAAAAATAAGAGATATAATGGTAAATTACGGCATTGGATATTATTACTTCTAAGGAAATATTCTTGCCTAAAGAAAGTATAATAGAAAATTTGCAAACTCAAACTTACCAACACAACTGCAGCACTCACTGTATAAATAACTGAGGCAGTTAAAGCAGTCTTTGCAACATGAGCAATCCTTTAGGTCACATTTGCAGGATTGAGTTAACATGCATTTAGACACCACACTTGCGCAAATTGCTTCATTACAAGCATATATTATGGGTACAATAGATACGAGCGCAAAAATGAAGTATAATTTGCCCCCCATAGTGATTACAAAGTTAAGCTTTACAGCTCTAAATATCAAAAACAAGAGAAGATATAAAAATAAACAAAACACCAATCAAACGCATAAAGTAAACTTTGTTTATACAACTTTAATTTAACAAAACGATTTAATCTAATTCAGCGTAAATCGTAAAAAGTTAGCTCAAATGAGTTATTTGGATCTAACTGCACAGTGCTCATTAATATGTTAACTTTAATGTAAACGCAGAAAGCAATTCTGCTAAATTTCCTATACTAGCATACACACGACGGCACAGGCAGAGGCACAGAATTGCACCAACACCGACCAACCACGAGCAACGAACTGCACAGCCACAGACAAAATAAATACAATTACACAAATACACAGATAAAGTAAGTAAATAGAGTAGAGATGAGTTAATATCGATTTATCAAAATATCGATATGTTGTTATTTGTGACGATATTTTCAATCAAGATAGATCGATCAATTTATAAATATTGTATACACAACTCTAGTTTAATAATAAACAGATAACACCTTACATACTCGTTGCGTTTTGTTTATTTTAAAAAATCGCTCAACATTTCCTGAACAATAAGCTGATTCATCCCTTCCAAATAAGAGTAAAATAAGAGCATTTCACGCCAGAAGTTTCAGAAATCACCGATAATTTCTTAGACTTTGGTCCATACTATAATATGACTAGAGATGTAAAACTTCACTCGAATTTTAATTTCGACTATCGATTCTCAGGGCGTAATATTTGGTATCAAAAAATATTTAGAATTTGATATGGAAACTTTTTTCGCATTTATTATAATCATTATAATAAATGAGCTGAGAATGTACCCATTATGAATATCTTTAGTAATCCATTGATATCCATTTTTCAATCCATTAATTGGTGTTAGGGCAACAGTTTTCGCAGTCGCACAAATGGCCTACCATCCGTCCAGGTAAGTACTACGTCTTCACAGAAGACTGGCGTGGAATGTTATACGTTTGTGTGTTGTGTTTGTACGTTTCGTCTGGTGAGTGAGGTTGCTGGGGCCTACTTTAATAAAATGTGTCAACGCATCTGCAACTATACGGGTATTGCAAATGTCAATGGGCGGCGGTTATCACTTAACATGTGAGGTGAACCACCAGCTCCTTTGCCACCTTTTCCCATAAAAAATATATTAACCAGAATTAATCGTTTACAAGAACACCAGACTCAAGGAGGAAATAAAGAGTTTCCTCATTAACTATGCGGTAGTCAAACAAATGTATCTAGTGTAGGCTGCTAATCGGGGTCCTCGCACTCGCCCTTGAATGTTGTCCACTCGAAGCCATATGTATTTGTTAACGTATATGTTGGATGCTGGGGTAGGTGCGGCTAGACATCGGCCGGCTTTAACCCGTTCGGGCTTCTGTCATCGTTTTATTAACTCCGCCTTCGCAGGAGCAAGGACGGGTTATGTAGGGCTTCCCGCAGTACCTTCTCGGGGAGCAACTCCTCTCTCTTTCAGGTAAGGCACGTTAGAACATTCAGTGTACCTTCCTACTCAGCCCTTTTCCACGGAAGAACGCCGTATTACAATACTGAGAGTCTTCCCCTCCTCGGCCCAACCGCTACTGAACTTGTTTAGAGTTTAGTGGATCGAATTATTGAAGTGTCTCGGAAACTGTACATCAAATATATTATAAATAATAAAATAAAAAAGAAGATTTTTTGATTTAAAGACTATTGATGACTCGGTGGCGCCGTTGCTAAGCTATTGGCTTCAGGTCGTGGGTACGATTCCCACATGGGGCAAGTACTTGTGTGACCCACAGATAATTGTTAGCGATCTGGGTGTTTGTTTCCCAAGAAAGGCTGTCGTCAGGCAGGCCACCAGTCGTAAAAAATAAAGCCAAAACTACTGACATCATTGCAGCATAAGGCTGTTAAATAAATATCATTATTGTATCTCACCCGTAATCAAACTTCTTAAAAGAAATATCTCATGATCCCCTTGACCCTCTCCCTAGATATTGTAATGGATGCAAGCATCTTCATTCCCTAAAATGGTTTAATTCATTCTCCCTGTTTTACCTGAGAAAAATCTTTTATGCCATAGTCTCCAAATCAAGTTTCTCACTGTGATCCTGGTCTTATTGTTGGGTAACATCGTACAGCCTCATTTAACTGCCACCATCTTTCCAATTCAGTCCAAACCAAAAAAAAAAAAAAATTAACGCGTACTGGGCACAAAGACAATACCGAGTATCGGATTTAGAAAATCGCTAATCCTGAAAGTCCGGAACACGATAACACTGTCATCTTCCTTGATAAGTGTGCAAAGTTTCAATTTAATTCGACGTTTTATGTGTGTCAAAATCACGTTCGAAATTCCTTGACATACTTATATATTTATATATACATGAAGACACTGTTAAAAACATGAAAAAAGACAAAGAAAAGTAAGACTGAATAAAAGAGTAAAAGTGCACTTCTTCATTATTTTACCTTTGCACTTCAGACTCTCTCCTATCTACCACCATTTAGAGACGAATTGCATGATTTTCTTGACAGAGGGGAAAATTCGATGTCTTTTAAATGCTATCTGTATACTTATCATTTTGGAGACACCACTTCTTTTTTTAAAAGATGACTCATTTCCGAAAGGAGGGTGCTAACGATATACACTCCCTGTGGAATTTTGGCCATCAAAAATATGATTTTACATCGTTTATTGTTTACAACAAAACGTAAATTATACATATAGATACTGTAGAATATGCTATTCTTATAATATAACAAGTTTTTTTCCGCTTTAAATTCAAATAATAGCGATTAAGTGGGAAAATGTAAATTGTATATCATCATCATCATTATTTCAGCCTGTTTGAGTCCACTGCTGAACATAGGTCTCCCCCATAGACTGCCACGAAGTACGATCCTGTGCCACCTGCATCCATCGACTACCCACATATTTTCACGGGTCGTCACTCCATCTAGTGGGGGTCTAGTCCCACACCGCGATGGCCAGTGCGAGGCTGCCACTCGAGAACCTTTCTTCCCCAACAGTTATCGGTTCAACGAGCTATATGGCCGGCCCATCGCCCAATTGTACATATTTATGTAAAATTCTGTGGTACTTCATTAATAATTTGGTTTGGGTCTGGTTTACCTTTTTGAATCTACATACAATTTTATTAATGTAACCGTCACATTAACGTATCCCTCGTGCTTTCTTTCCTACTATATTTAGTAGGCAGTGGCGGACTAACCGGAGGGCGGAAGGGCCCCGCCTTCATGTTCTCTTAGATAGCTCTAAGAGGTTTGAAATGAAAATACTATTTATGAATAAATTTACCACCATATATAAATGGTGTTTCCCGTACTGGAAATGGGGCCTCAGGGATCGCGTTTGACTGGGCCTCTTTAGGTGAGCACAGCGGACCTAACCACTGGCACGGAAGGCATTTTCTGATGAAAATATACCGGCAAGAAACTCAAAAGTTGCTTTTTTTAAAAGGATCACATTATAATATAAAATATATAAAACTAGCGGACCCGACAGACGTTGTCCTGTAAACACGACTGGAATCCGAAAACAACTTATAAATAAAAAAAATGTGGACAGAATTGTGAATCTAAGCCATTCTCGAATCGGCCTGAAGACGTGGAAGTGTTGAATTCAGGAAAACGGTACGCTTAGTATAAAAACCATTTTCCAAACCATTACAGAGAGCAGTAGAAAGAAAAACTAATTTAACGAAATAAACATTAAAAAAGAAAATAGTGTCTTTAATAAGTGTGCACAGCCCTCAATTATAAGTACATCCTGATTGAAAAATCTAATTAAAGTAGCAAGATAATAATATTATCAGTGGATTAACACAGGTTGGTGGTCAATATAATCGAAATATTTGTGAGTTATTCATAACGTGCAGTGTTTTTAATGTTATATAATGGTAAGTAATATAATTAACGGACCATAGTGATATGTATTTTTAAATATTTTCAGTCACCTTCGTTGTAATTTGCGAGCATTTTAAAAATATATACATTTGCCCAAGTTACTCTTAACTTCGTTCCTCACGTTCATCTAGTTTTATGGTGTCACTTTTATAAGTCAAACTTATTGCTAGTATTACAATTTAATGTTGCAGCATTCCCTACATTGATGTACCGTAAAAGTTCTTTTAGACCCGGACTATTCTTTCTCTCCTTTTGTATTACAGGGTAAAGTTGTATTGTTGGCTTTTCTCGCAATATCGGTGGTGGCAAGAGCTTACAAGAACCCTTATTATGCACCTGGACGATCGGTAAACGTGCATCTATTCGAGTGGAAGTGGAACGATATCGCTGAGGAATGCGAGAGGTTTTTAGGGCCCAAGGGATTTGGTGGCATTCAGGTTAAGTTATTTTCAGTTATTTTCATTCTTTTATAATGGACCACGTTTATACAGTATTCGTTTACGTTTCTTTTTGTTCTCTTTTCAATGAAGGACTATTTATATATTTACTTCTTTATACTGAGCCGCCGTTAGTTATTGGATCGTTATAATTAGACTAAACAATTACATCGAAAGTAGAATTTATAAGCAATTTTCTTTCATTTTCAAAACATTTCTGTTTCCCCGCGAAATTGATTTAGTATTGATAATAGTACGAAAAATCAACTTTTGGATAACTATATCTGTTGGTATTGTCACGTTCAAGATAAAATAAAGGTTATTATTGAGGGATATGTAATCCTCTGCAGAAAGGTTTAAACTATAATTCATAAAAGAATTTCTATTTATTGTATTCTTTAAACAAATTGATTAGTGCTTGACTGTTGTCCCATTTTATGGCAGCATGTATGTATGTATTATATTTTTATCTATATGTTTATTTCTATTTATAAATCCAACCAGACGAGAAAACAAATGAATATCCCCCCATATTAATAAATATTTTAGGACACATTTTTACACAGCGTTCTCTAGTCCCAAACTAAGCAACGCTTGTACTATGGGTACTAGAAAACTAATAGACATACTTTTCTTCTGTAAATAAACATACACACACACATTATACAAATATAAACACCCAGACACTAGAAAAACACTATGCTCATCACACAATATTTTTCCAGTAGTGGGGATCGAGCCCACACCCTCTAGCGCAGAAGGCAGGCAGGTACACTACCGACTACGCCATTCGGGTCGTCAAAGTCGAAAAAGAGTATACAGATACATATTCATGGACCACGAACAAGTACTTTTTTCTTTTGGGGCGTAGCGTAATGATGTCTATAAATACTAACAGTACCGAGGAGGCCTTTGCCCAGCAGTGGGACATATACAGGCTGTTAGTATACTACGTAGACGATAGATTGTTTCATAATAACAAGAATACCGTAATAAATATATAATATAACTGTTGTGATAAGAACACTAAGTGAAATAATTAAATCTTTTGAACGAGTTATCAATGTTATCATATCAATAACATGGGGGTATCTATAAATGTGTTTGTGTAACAAAATTATCGAAAAATGGTATATCATTCCATCACGACAAATAAACTGAATGTAACATTTTTGTACGAAAAATACATTGAACATTTATAAGGTAACGCAGAAAACAAAGAGCAGCATTTCCAAATTCAGAAATAATTTAAATTAAACACCGTCCATAGCTTTCGTTTTACTGGTCGCCCAGTAGCCATAATTAATATATATTACATACGTCTGAACGATATTAATTTATTCTCAATTTGACAGACTTTACAGACTTTAACAAAAACAAAAGGGTATAATTATATGCGTGGGTGTTCCAAATACATGGGAGTTTTTTTTATTGATTTAATGTATTTTTATGCATAATTTTAAAACAACTCTATAAGTGTGGGAAATTTCATACTCCTCTGTCCGTGCAATTTTCGTAAAAAGGGGTACAAAGTTTTTGCTTCACGTATTGATATATATTTATAATATGTAGATTTGACTAATCTTATACAGAGTATTTTATTATTTAGTAATTTAATTACGTATTTTTCACATGTTTCAACTTTGAAAACAGATATCTCCCCCAAACGAGAATGTGGTGCTGTGGTCATACAACCGGCCGTGGTGGGAGCGGTATCAGCCAATCTCCTATGTGCTAGAGACGAGATCTGGTGATGAGCGCCAATTTTCTGAAATGTTGAGACGTTGCAACGCCGCTGGAGTGAGGTTAGTGGGCCCGACCGTTGACATTTGTCCTTAAACCCATTTTTACGGGGAAGGTGCTAACGAGCATATTATACGAATGTGCATCTTGATCAACACTTTTTCAACCTTTCTTGATCAACATTTCTTCTTTGCGGTTGTACTGGTAAACTTGAAGAAATTTATTAAATTTGTTGCGATTCCTTAATTTCAGAAAAAATATTGCACATGTTCAGTAATAATGCTCGTAAATGCTTGTATTATTTTTCTATAATAAATATCTTAATAATTAAAAACGTTTTATAATTAATTTTTAAGAAAATGAAAACCAATACTATGGTAATTTTTTCCAGTTCATCTAACATGTAATTCATATCATAATTAATAATAAAAGTATAAAATATGCGTAGGGTTATTATGTAGAAATCAGTAGTAACATCTATTTTTTTGTAAAATACATTTTCATTGAATGCATTTAAAACAAAGTACTCTAATAACCACTATCTATATATATGTGTGGATGTTGGAATATTAGGTCAACGTTGAATAGAAAAAATCTTTTTCATAGTAATATGGATTAAGTAATACATCATATATCTTTTATTATATATTTGTCAAGTATATAACCAAAGTCATATTTATGTATTAAAAGAATTGTCACTAAAAATAGCTGCAATTTAGTTAACAAAACTGTTTTGTTGACTAAATTGCAATACATAGGTAAAAGAAAAAGTACATTTTAGAATTTACGTGGACGCAGTGATTAACCACATGACTGGCGAGCCCCCGGAGAACTTTGGCACCGCTGGCAACACGGCATCGTACAGAGATTGGTACTACCCCGCAGTACCTTACACGGCGGAGCATTTTAACTGGCCACATTGCGTTATAGACGGCATGGACTACGTGAACAATGCATGGCGGGTGAGTGCAGTTCATCTTAAATGGTGATGATTTTTGAAGTTATACTTGTTTTGGCGTGTTTGGGAAAAATGTTGAGAGTGAATTTTTTATGATGCGCGACACCTGAAAGCTACACTCGTTCGCAGATTATGTTTAAAGAATCGATGACGTCCATGTAATATCCGAACAACAAGACCACGCCAATAGATTGTTAATTTTTGCGTAACAAATGCGTTTCCACCTTTAAATAAAGTGGGCCCCGCCTACCTCACTCACCAGACGAAACGCATAAGTGTAACACATCTACTTTATGCCGATCTTTTGTGCGGTCGTGGTACATACCCGGACGGACCTGCCCCTTCGTGCAATATTGAACATTGTTGCATGGTCCTACCACATTGATGATATTCCACAGTGTTTGGAATCTCATCAACATGAGAATAATCCGTTCGTCTCCGATTTACACTCTAAAACCTAGAATAATACCTTAGAGAGGACGCAAATGACAAATTAATAACGAAGTAAGAAAAAAATAATCTACGAAAAGCAAATCGAAATGAGCATTTTGTAAGAGTAACGAATTATATGAAAAGCATTATACCAATACATCACATTTTCACCCGACTTTAAAAGGCGGTTTTCAATTCCGTCATATTTTTTTACATTTGTTACCTCAGAACTCTGCCATCTATGAAACTATGTTAATACGGCTTCGGTGTAGCTTTCACGTGGTCATATGAATTTTATTGGTACTTGACCCTCGGCCGGAGGTACCTAAGGGAATACTCCTTAAGATTAAATAGTAAGTTTTTTTTTAAGATTAAATTTTAATTTTTTTTATAAAATTAAATCTTAATTTTAATTTTTTTTATTAATTTTCTTTAGCGCATTTAAATTAAAATTTGATTATTTTTCAAATTCGCTTCTAGGTACGGAACTGTGAATTGGTGGGACTGAAAGATCTGAACCAGAGACACGAGCATGTAAGAAACAGAATTGTTGATTTTATGAATAGGCTGATCGACTTGGGTGTTGCTGGATTTAGGTAATATTTTTTTAATAAACTTATTATTTATCCAAAGCTGTAGTCTAAAATTACTGTTGCGCAAAAATTTAATTTAAATTTCCATTAATATTCGACAGAACCCATTTCTAAAATATACATATGGACGTATTCTTGTTAAGGAACAACGCCTGCACTAATAGCGCAATGGTTAACACTTTCAACGCACAATGTTATTCGCAAATTGCAGATCGCCATACGAGATAAAAACTATTTCCGAGGCTGAATGTACTCGTACTTCAAGTCTGTTGCCCTATATTTGCAACACCGCATTTGACGACACGTGGATTGTTCCACTTATAACAATGATGTTTTAATAAACATGACTCATGTCCATACTGTGCGGCGTTTACATTATATTAAAAGTGTTTTAAATTATTCCGCTTTACATTATATGATATAGAATGTATGATACAGAAAGAGATAGCAGTATATACAGTTGAAATCTAATCACACCAATTGGTGTATTTTGAGTGCCTAGTGGCATGCACCTCGTATATGTATGTAACGTCATTGATCTATGACCTTTAAATGAAAATCAAACGGACGAAAGGAAATCGATTGAAACATCGACTGTAATCGAAACAAACGAACGAAAAATATCCAATGAAGTATCGATTGTAATTGCTGACAGGATAGACGCGGCGAAGCACATGTGGCCGCAGGACCTGCGGATCATTTACGATCGCCTGAACAACCTAAACACCACTCACGGCTTCCCGGCCGACGCGCGTCCGTACATCTACCAAGAGGTCATCGACTACGGCGGCGAGGCGATCAGCAGGGATGAGTACACGCCGCTCGGCGCGGTCACCGAGTTCCTCGTTGGATCGGAGCTCAGCAACGCGTTCCGCGGCGGCAACCGGCTGAGGTGGCTCTCGACCTGGGGCCCTCAGTGGGGCCTCCTGGCCCAGGGGGACGCGCTCACGTTCATCGACAACCACGACAACGAGCGGGGCCACGGCGGCGGCGGAGGCGTGTTGTCGTACAAGGAGCCGCGCCCGTACAGAGGGGCGATAGCTTTCCTGCTAGCGCATCCGTACGGCGAGCCGCAAATCATGAGCAGCTTCGACTTCTGGGACTCGGAGATCGGACCGCCAATGGACCGCGACGGGAATATCGTATCGCCGGCGATTAATTCGGTTAGTGCGTTTCCGTTTCGTGTATTTATGTTATAATTCTAATAAAAAAAGTAACATGAATACTTTTTTTATTATTTCACCTGTCTAAGATCTCACCACACCACATACATTGATTTCACCGCACCTTAGGTTAACTGTCAGAGAATGCCGAAAGGCATTGCTGCCTATTGTGTACCGGATTCAAGGAAATGCAATAAAGACCAAATAAATAAAGTAACATCTTCCTCCTGCCTTTATCCCACCTAGGTGGGGTCAGCACAACATGTGAATCATGTTGTAAGCGGTTCTGGTTATGTTTTTTACGACCGTCCGCCTGTCTAACGTTCAACCATCCATGGAAAACAAACACCCAGATCCGGAACAATTATCGGTGGCTCACACAAATACTTATCCCGTGAGAAAATCGAATCCACGAACGATTCATATTGAGTATTATGTGATAATTAAAATATTACAAATGTAAATGCCTCATACTTCAGTGTTTTGTTCGTCATTATGCTAATTATCAGGATATGTTGTGCATACTAGTAAATAGAATCGTTTAAAGATACATAATATATATTAAGTTCATATGAGTATTTACAATTTGGTGGATCGTGGGAAATAAAATAAAAATGTTTGCCGAAACTATTTCCTATCCCATATACTGTGGTCCGTCCGGGTCAATACCACCTCACAGAAGACCGGCGTGAAGTACTTACAAACTGAACATACTTCTGTGTTTCGTTTGGTAAGTGTGGTAGTCGGTCTACTAAATTAAAACTAAGTAGCTGCAACATACCGGTGTTACAAACGTCCATGGGCGGCAATTACCACTTGACATCAGGTGAACCGCCAGGTCACTTGCCACCTTTTCACATAAAAAAAATATGATTTTCTGCTACATGAACAAAATAATGTAATACGCCACATGCCTACATTCCCTGCACAGGACGGCACCTGCGGTAATGGCTGGGTGTGCCAACATCGCTGGAGGCAGATCTACGCTATGGTCGGGTTCCGTAACGCGGCTGGCGCGACTGGCCTCAACCATTGGTGGGATAACGGCAGCAACCAGATCGCGTTTTGCAGAGGAGGCAACGCGTTCATCGCCTTTAACAACGACAACTGGGACTTTAACCACAATTTACAGGTGGGAATGGAAACAAGCGTCAACCGCTTGCGTTCTTGTTGTAATACACTGTTTGTTTAACGGTTTCTCAGCTTGCTTTTTAACATAATTATGTTGTCTAACAAACTGTACTGTTCAAGATTTATTATCCCCTGCATTACTTTTTGTGTTTTGTGTGGAAGAGGTTGATCCCAATGACGACTGCGACCTAGAAAGATTATACAGCGTGTCGTTAGCAACGCGACAATAAATGAACACACATATAGAGGATAAATTTTTAAAATTGTATCAAAAATTTACATTCTTTAAACATCAATATTTACAGAGTTATTATATTTTCCAAAACAAAGAATTTTAGAACACCCTTACCTATAAAAGCGTAACGTAAAGTTCATTTGTAAAGGTCACAAAACATATGAATGGGTTGAATGAATTTAAGAGACAAAACATACTGTTAGAAGGAGAGGCTTATAATACGACGCTGGGGCGCGAGTTGTATAGGATGTTACAAATTTTGTTTCTTTTTTACTTAATTAGTTTGTTTGAAAAATATTTTTCTTTAATTATGGATTTTGTTTAACGTTAATATTTTTTTATGATTATTGGCAAGTAGCGTTAGATGTGTGTTCATTTATTGTCGCGATGGTAACGACACGCTGTATAGTAGATCTTTTTAGTAGTCTTCTCTATGAAAACATTACTGTAGGATAACATTGTTCTGTGCGTTATGAAGTTTTACATACAGAAAACCCAGGTCCGAAACAATTATTTGTGAGTGACACAAATATTTGTCTCGTGTGGGAATCGGACCCACGGCCTCCTGTATTGGGGGGAGTTGAATGTCTTGGTTGAGGCAGATTTTCCTCACCAGTAAGACATAATATATTGGATTATATGTTACTTATAAACTTTTTTAATGTGTATAATGGAATAATAAAAACTACTTCTTAATTCAAAATTAAAACACATTTAAAAATGAAATGGTTGTGAAAAATATGTATGATAACCTCAAGTACAAAATTAACATGTATTATTATGTGTGCTTATAGTTTGAAACTGATTGATTTTTTTAATTCATTTTCAATATTGAATTTTGAATTATTATTAGTTCAATTCCGATTCCATTGATGAATAAGCTTAAACAACCCAAAAATTTATTTCACGGCTATATGGACTTTGAGACTGCTGGTTTGAGGTTCGCATGTTAAGAAGGTTTAACGAAACTGGTTCTTTTACGTGCTTCATAAAGTGGGTGGGGTATTCGTTAGCACATGAAATGCACTTTATTCTTTGTAACTAAAATCTGTACTGTGTAACTAAAATCTCTGAATAATGATGACATTAATAGTAAAATTTATAGACATGTCTACCAGCCGGCACTTACTGCGACGTAATATCCGGTGACAAAGTGAACAATTCATGTCACGGCAAGAACGTGACGGTTGGGAACAATGGCTTCGCGCAAATCTACATAGGCGCTAATGAGTTCGATATGATGTTTGCCATTCACGTTGGTCCTGAGGTATGTCGATTGTTTGATGTGTTTCGATTGTTAAAGCTAAAATACAGTGTTTTGTTACTAAAAAAAATATAGCAAAATGATCCTTAAAAATGATTAAAGATAAAATTACAAAAACGTTTTCGATCAATCCAAAGTTCAATAAATCACTTTATAAGGGTGTTTATATGGGCATGTTATTTTAGAGCCATAGAGTTCCAGATGCTCGAAATAAAATGTTTTGTACACGAGCCACCCGAGTTCATATACACTACTGACATTGACTTCCACAATTTCAAATATTAAAAAAATTTAAGTGTAATCAAAAACATGGCCTGAATCAGAAACAATCAGGTTCATGTCAAAGAGATTATAACAAATATCTTTCCGTATCTGAAAGTACATTCTTGAGTGAAGTTGGCTAAGCCGCATAAGAGAAATTGCAACTTTAAACTTACTTTAACCCTATTTTTGCAGTTGTAGTTCTTTTGTCGCGTTTAAAAAAAATGAGAGTAAAATTTTACAATGCCAAATTTTACGATACCAACAATCAAAAAGCTACATGATGAAGTTGGTTTCAAAGTAGCCAACGAGCAAAGAGTACCTGGAAGAATTTTTAGTTATTTTTTTCTTTTTTTTACATTGTCCTCACTTTAGGATAACATTATCCTGTGATGTAAGGACGTTTTTACAAACATAACGTGGACAAACACCCAGATGCGAAACAACTATCTGTGGGTGGCGCAAATAGTTGTCCCGTGTGGGAATCAAACCTACGACCCCCGACGCCGAAGCCAATACCTTGGCAACTGCGCCACGGAGTCAATTTTTTCAAAAGCTTTTTGTTACATTAAAGAAGTATAACTTATGTGCGTACATAAGTACCTACACGCATATTTTTTTAACTATAGGAACAACAAAATATGAGAAATTGTCCATTTAACATTGGAGCATTTAGCTTTGAATTATGTATTCTGTAGGTAATGCAAAATGCATCGTTATGTTATTGTTTCAGAGTCGACTGTGAACTTTCTCATCTGTCAGCGCTCTTTTAGGCTCAAGAATGCGGAACCCATTGATTTAATAAAACTAATATTTAAAAAGTTTGATGTTTATCATTGAGAAGACCTGATTTAATTCATCGACCTTTTGCCATTAACTGTAAATAGACCATTTTTGAAAAAAAATATTTGTTGTGGATAAAAATATATGAAGTGGTGCTCTTAAAGTAAAAAAGCACAACAATTATTTTTTTAAAAACATTTTTTTATTGAAATTATACACTTCTGTATAATTTCGGGAAAAGCACCCAAAAAAGGACTTTCGCTGCACCGACAGCCGCAACAATATCTATAAAGTTTAGAAAAATTATATATGTATATTTATATATTTATATATGTATGTGTTTAATTATTTATTGTATGTGTATATATTGTATATTTTCAATACATATAAATAATTGATATAATTATTGCACCTACCACGATTTCTCACCACGCCCCGGGTTGACTGGGAGAGAATGCCAAAAGGCATTAAGTTTGCCCTTTGTAATCCTTACTTAATGTAATTGCAATAAAGAATAAATAAATAAATAAATAAAAAAGTGTTAAATTTCAAATAAATAGGTCGTCACAAGACGCCCGACAGATGTAAAAAATTCAAGAGAATATAAAAACTTAGGTACACTTAATAAAATTAATAGAGAAAATATCAAGTAAAATAATGAATGAAGAGTAGAATTTCGTTAATGAAATAAATGTTTCTTATTATTTTAGTTATAATATTAATAACAGGACATGTATATAGGTTTATAAATTGCAAAAATGTTGTAAACGGTGTTGGCCTTACGTTAATCCTCCTTGGATTAACAAACACTGGGTTACACAAACACTTGTCCCGTGTAGAAATCAACCCACGACCAAGGGACGCCAAAGTCATTAGTTTAGCAAAGGGAAAAAATTATTTAGTAATAATATAAATATAAATATTGTTTGTTTTTTAATTACTTTAGACGCAATAATATTCGGTCCCAAGAAAGAAAATACAATACGTTTATACTAGCAGTAAATGTGTTAATTAAAGTGTCCATGTCCGATAAAAATAGTAGGTACTCAGCTTAAACATGGGAGTCGACGCGGCAGCGTGGAGGAGCATCATGGAATCCGAGCGTCACGCCGCTTGCCATGACGGCAAACCTTGATTCCGTGATTTTCCTGCCATGAGCTAATGTTTCACATTAAAAAAAAAAAAATCTTACTCTAAGGATTTTACAATAACTGTGGGATACACATTTCAATTGAAAAACAATGAAATTAATGTATTTTGTCATTTATATTTCAGACGGTCCACAAAATCTAAGCAAATTTAAACGTAAATAGAAACATTTAGATAAGCTTATTGTTTAATCTAAAACTTATAACTGTACCGTATAGCTAGTTTTTGAATATAGCCAAGCATATATACATATTTTGAATTGAACCGAATATTAAATAAAACACAAAAGCCTTGTTCAGTACATAATAATTACATAGTTTTGGCGTGACTGTGACAACTACGCTCACGTTGTTTTTAATGATATATATTTTATGTCCAAACCTGTATTTAGAAATGGAAAGGTCTCATTGACTATAAATAAAGAGGTTGATATTACCGTTAATATAACTAAAATAGTTTATTCGCTTGAATGCAAGGTTTTTAAAGAGGACGTTTCGGTACATAAAATATTTCTTGCATTAGTTATGCATAGTTGCAAAAAGTAATAAACTCCTCGAGCAAATGAAATAATGTACGCAAAGTATATCGAGTCTTATGGGAAGGTTTTTTTGATGTTTACAAAAGAATAATGCATCTATCGAGTCACCTGTTTACATGTACATGTGGTTATTTTGATTTATACCTGACATTTTGTTGTTCTCATTCAGATATCATAATATTTGCATTATTCATCTTAAAAACTACACTCCAATAAATATACCGTTTTTTATATTCTATATAGGTATGTTTTTTATTTCCTTAAAAAACGAACCTTCACTTTTTTATTTTGTACTGTAGTCTGACTTTGACTGCGCTCAGTTAAAGTTTAATACTTCATCATCAGTGCGTTGATCTTATATAACATATAGAACATATAGAACATGTAGAACGTTACAAGCCTCTACCAACCATTACCACATAACCACATTCTATTAAGTGAAGAAAATTAATAAGGAATTAACAAGTACACTATAAAACACATACATAGCTCATGCCCGGCGAATGCGAGGTACCCAATTCGCAGCCTACGCACAATATTTTCGTGTGCCAGGTCGCTTCTGAATCGCTTATGTCGTGTTGGTTTTTAGTTAATCTTTTGTCTTACGCCCGGTCTCTGAAGCACGGATCATCGTGGAAGTCAACTAATCAGATGTCAAATGGCTCTTCAAATGTTATTTGAGTTGTCTAAAGGATTATTAAACTCTTTGAATTGATCATTAAGAAGATCGTTCTGATCAATTCAGAGGTTTTAACAATCCTTTTGGCAACTCAAATAACATTTGACTTCTACGATGAATGATCAGTGTTTCAGAAACCGGGCGTTATACGAACGTTCGCTAGTTACGTAATTAATCACGAATACTTTTACGTCTGTAGATTAATTGTTTTCGTGACTGAATACTTTTCTTGAGTGATCGATTCGTTCTAGGTATGTCTCATGATTATTACCATCTTTGGATGTATTCCTCTATCGATTTTGGTCCAATCCGAGGTTCGAGTGGATGCTTTTATTGTGTTGTCATGCACCAGTTACAATATATGGTTTCTATGGGTTCCGTGGGTCTTTGCTAAAGGATATCTTATCATTTTAGATAATAAAAATACTAAAACAATAAATAATCAATTAAAAAGACCAACTTGATTTAAACAGGTACCTTACTGAAACCGGTATCTAAGTATGTAGGTATTAAAACATATTATAATAAATAGTTTTTGTGCCTTTAATATACTGAACTCAATAACTTCAGTGAAATCAATTTTCTTTTGAAACACAAAATTTAGATGGGTTTTATTTCTAGTAGCTTTGTGTATTTTATGTTTAAAAATTGATTTTTTGCCGATCGAATCTAATTTTATTTTCCTCATCCATATTCATATTTTATGCATGTTTATTCAGGTCCAATTTAAATTACTCTTACAAAATTAAATTAAATAAACATAAACGCTTATACGAATGTGAAGTGAAAAGTTTAATTAAGAAGCTTGTAAAATTAGATCAACTTCATAAACTAGGGGCCTCATTTTAGCTTTTCCGCCCCGGGTCTCTGAAGGACTTAGTCCGCCACTGGTGTTAAGTGTACCATTTTCTGGTTAAAAATGGAAGGAAATAAAAGTATTTGTATTTTTTTGGGTTGTGCATACAGAATAAATAATTAAATGAAGAATTTTATTGCTACATGCTTATTTTATTCGTCATTAAAAGTTCTGATCGTCCGTCCACGTATAATTATCTGTATTTGCGTTTGGAAATTATTATTTGTTTTCACGAACGTGACTCATAGAAAATGATAACTTGCTTTTTCAAACATACAATACTTTTAAGTGTTGGGATCATTTAAATGGACTTATTTACGAGAGTCATAAGTAGTAGTGACCTATTGAATGTTATTATTAAATATTTCATTTTAAATACAAAGTCGTTTGAACTACACGTTTTACATAAACTATACAAACATTTCAAAAATACCCAAATTTCATTTTTCTTCATATTAACAAGAAGTATAGTTTAAAAATATATTTTGTTATAAATAAAGACTTAAAAAATGAAATCTCACAAAATAAAACCACCTATTCCCTTAAAAGTAAGAAGTAAAGTTATCAAGAAAGCTATATTGGAGGAAGATGGGTATGTAAAATCTCGGTGACAGAGAAACATACAATTGCCATTTCACAGTGAAATGTTTCAGAGAATAATAATTAAATAATGCAATAAGAAAACAATTATTTCAGCTTGCCAGTCAAGTATGCGTACAAAACCAACCAGATAACTGAACCATGTAGAGTTAAAAGAACTAACCACATCTACAACACCCTCGAGGAGTTTACCTCGACAACGACACTGCATGGCTTTCGATATTTATTGAACAAGAATTATTCTAGGATTGAGAGGTAAAAAAAATATTTTCATAAACCTTATGTATCAACCATTCCAGTAATTAGTTATCGCACCACACCTTCGGCTATTGTACTAATGGGCTATAAGGCTCGCCTGGGGAAGCACCAGTAAAACACCAGAAGAAGCAAGACCTCATAGAAGAGAGACCTGAAGTAGAGGTATTAATTCACTGCGTTTCATTCAATGAGTGAGATACCCGGGACCAAATGTTTTACTCAATCTGTAAAATATTTGGTCGTGGTAGTGGCAACGCTTCGGGTGTTTTATATGAATATGGACGTCGATAACATTTCAACATAACCCGTAAATAAATAATTGTTTTATAAGACATATTTGGTTCGGATTTTATTTTCATGGAGAATATATTTAAGCGTACTCTGCCTTGCGTTTCTAATGTACATAATATCCTTTATGCCTGTCCCGAGTAACAACGTGTTATGTTAGACTTGTTACGGTCAAGCAAACGATGGTTGGCGTCAGAGCTGGTACTGTCAGCAACATTCTTGATCCTTATGAAAACTGGTAATACAATTGCATAATGTCTCGGGAAGACCGTACGAAGATTTTAGATAAAAATATGATCCAATATTAGATAAAAATAAGATGCGTATAACGTATGTTTTTGTTAACGTGGAGAAATACTTACGAATACCGTCGCGGGACCTTGGTCCTGACGACCGACGTGAAGTTGAAGTGATATCCTGTCCTTGGACAGTATAACACTTCAACTTCACGTCGGTCTTCCGTAAGGTCGTGGTGCTTACCCGGACGGACCTGCCCTTGACGGCACCAACGAAGACTGTTACGTGGCGCTACCATAGTAAAATTCACATTCGTTAACTTGTGGATGCCTAGGTAAAACTCTGCATAGTTCGTATTGCTGGCATTAAGTGGCGAAGTTCGTATTTAGTGTAACATACAAAGAATATACGCAAATAAATTGCAAGATATTTTTATTGCGGTTATTTTTTGCGAAATGAGCCGAGGAATTTTCTCCCATGTTCAGTGATGCCAAAAATTACTTGAAGAAATCCTCTTAAACAGTCTTGGCGAAGGATTAAAATACTTGAGTTTGCAAATTAGGTAATACAATAACTAGTCGACATAACAAGAGTTCAGTTTCAGTTTCACACTTTGGTATGCATTATTATTTTGGCAGTATTATTTGTCCATACGCTAGTAAGACAGACTATAACGCTTGATAATTAACAACGAAATTAATTCAATAATCTAAAAATTTCCCAGGCTCTGGTGGTTAGTAATGGTCGTCTGCAGCGTTCTGACGTGCACATTCTTCATCAGAAAATTATGGATGAAGTGGAACGAAAATCCGGTAGTAATACACATTGGAGATGTCTCCAGTTCCGTGTGGCATGTCAGTTTATTTAATCATTGGTCATTTGGTAAACTTAATGTTAGATTGACGTTATATATAAACCGCTTACAGATACCTTTTCCAGCAGTGACTTTATGCAGCGAGACAAAATCCCGACAGAGAGCATTTAATTTCACAAAAGCTTTTGATGAACGTTGGAGTAATCCATCGCCAATTACTGCAGCAGAGTGAGCATTCATTTATGACATACATATTTATGTATACTGGTATAACGCTAATAACATGACAACGTCAAAGTGCATAAGACATCCTAATAGAAACAGATTTAATTATTTAAATATATGTTTTATAAAGGTACAATCAATACTAATTAATTAATTGAAACAATTTATACTAGTATTATTAAAGCTACAAAGGAAGCTCTATAACTAACTTTGCTTCTATTTAAAGCTTTATTGTTTAGCTACACTTACAGTATAATATTATGTTAAATTTTTAAGTAAGGTTCACCGCCGCTAATGGACGCTCACAACAGAGGAGTCACAAAGAGTTCCTTTGATGAAGGAGTAGGCTCTCTTCTTAGGGGACCCTAAATCGTTCTAGTATCTTCATATTATTATTTAATTTAATTACAATAAAATTATTCTTATAGCTTAAAACTATATAACGATATGTTATTGGTATGCAACAACACCGGTAGCGACGGGCCCGATTATGTGAACTTCAGCTCTATTGAAACATTGCGAAAGGTGAGTTTCATTCAACTTTCCGACTTAACTTCTTCTTCATCATCATCATCATTTCAGCCTGTTTGAGTCCACTGCTGAACATAGGCCTCCCCCATAGACTGCCACGAAGTACGATCCTGAGCCACCTGCATCCATCGACTTCCCGCACATTTGCACAGGTCGTCACTCCATCTATTGGGGGGGTCATGCCACACTGCGATGGCCAGTACGAGGCTGCCACTCGAGAACCTTTCTTCCCCAACGGTTATCGGTTCTACGAGCTATATGGCCGGCCCATCGCCACTTCAGCTTGCTAATCCTCTGAGCTATGTCTTACATAACTTGTAACTTCTTGTCTTGCTAACTTCTTCTTACATAAAGTTAATTTTTATCTCTTTCGTATATCTCTAAAAATGAAATAATTGACATCTCTCAGGACTAGATCAGCAGTCAAACTCGTTAAACACACATGTGTTTAATGGGTTTTCATAATAAATAGTTCAGTAGAGGTTTTGTCTGATAAATCATTGCCATTTATTTCAAATCAGATACTTGAGGAATTAATGTAGTTTAAATATCACTATAAAACAAAATCGTCCCGCTGTCTGTCTGTCCCTATGTATACTTAGATCTTTAAAACTCCGCAACGAATCTTGTGTTTTTTTACTAAATAGAGTCATTCAAGAGGAAGGTTTATATGTATAATACATTGCACCCGTGCGAAGCCGGGGCGGGTCGCTAATCTATACTAAATTAAATATTTTTGGGTATCGACTCCTAAGCTTACTCAGGTTTATAAAATATTATCGCTAAGATAGGCTATGCAAGTGTGGTACAAACAATGTGAAATATACGTATCTACATACAAACATCCCGCATGAATTTTATTATTTTTTCTAATATTGTCAATTTAACGACAATGTATTAAAATACGTGTTATATTTGCTATCGCTTTACAAGTTTTACATAAGCAACTATATATTGTTTATTGATTTTCCTTTAAAATTTTGGTTTACACGCATAACTTATTATAGTTAGCTCCAAGTCATGAAGAAACATTCTTGACATGCAAATGGGGAAATTACAGCTGCAATGAATTGTTTTTTCAAACTTTGACTAAGGACGGGCACTGTTTCACATTCAACATGCTTTCCGCCGAAGAAATTTTTCGCGTAGAGAAGTGAGTATTACTCCTAATAAAAGTTGGTATAATCTTTATTCGCTTCATATTGGTTTCAAATTACGAATTTTTGGTGAGCTCTTGTAATTAGTAATTGCCTCGATTTATTCAGCAGTTAAATGCATAAATTATTAATTTGTTTTTGGATGAAATTGGCGAGTGCTGATCATTATTACAAGTGATAGTAAATACTGATACAGCGAGCCACAATTGGCAAATAAATTAGTTCATTACTTAAGAAAACTGAAGACCTATGGGCTATCAATATGGGAAATTGATCTTATAATCTGTGATATTGCTTGTTTAATAGACAAAATATTTAATAAATGTTTATTAATGTTAATATTGCAAATGTCCAAAATTAATGAAATTTTGCAAAGTTGTGCTAGTTTATAGATCAGGCTCAAGAGAAAATGCCTCTAATTACCGTCCCAATTCTATTTTATCAGCCTTAATCAAATTATTTTATCAGCCTTAATCAAAGTATTTGAGAAAATAATACAACTGACGCTGGAGTAGAATTAGTGTCGCATATCCTACAGTCTTGAGAAACCTTCTATGACACCATCGGTGTGTTCTGTGACCTTTCCAATCCATTTGACTGTGTAGATCAGTGTTTCCCTTTTTCGTACCATGCCCCACCTTAGCCTTTCTAAAATACTTATCCCTCCCCCCTCCCCCCCCCCCGTTAATGTAGATTGAGTCCATTTTAATTCATAAGGTTACCCAAATTTGGTTAACCTTATCGTTTCCGATGGATAATTTACGAAACCCTTAGAAGTTACAAAGACTACTGAATAAAATTAAACAAATACTAAATGTGATATAATTATTTTGCAGCTTGCACAATGATTACTTTCATACCTACGGTAATACCAAAAGCGCCTGGTCCTTGGAGTCTGGATACGAGAGCAACAGTACTGCCGAATCATATCCATTTAGAGGCCTGGTTAGTGCTTACATACAGTTTCTGTTCAGATCGTCGGCTTTATTGATAGCTTATTTTTCAACCTACACCTTTTCAATCATAGCTGATATTAAACTAATGTAGTCTCAATGTCTCGCTTTTTAAATATCTCCTGTTAGGACGAAATTAAGAAGTGTATATCAGTTAGTAAATTTAAGGCCGTGGGTTTTAATGTTATTATATACAAATACGAGGTAGACATAACACTAACGCACCGAAACTGAGGCACTCAAATTACACCAATTATAGACTGCTGCTATCTTTTTCCGTATCATAGGTTCTATACCATCTGTCACTCTTATAATCAAATATTCATTGTTACTTTATCATTGCACTGATATGATCAAATATTCATCCTAGTTAATCTTGTAAGGTAAACTTGTGGGTTAATGTAACGCTTGCTCTTGGTTTTTAAAACTATTAAGTCTTCACTTTACAGGTTCACGATTTTGATCTTACATTACTGACAGATGTTCGGGATATAGATAGAAGATGTCGAGGGCCAGTGCAGGGCTTTCAGGTCAGTACCGTTTTAATGATTAAAGCATGGATATAACCTTTACCCGAAGTTGATGTACAACTTTTATGGAGCTGTAACAGAGCAAAGCCAGTACAATAAAGAATTCCGGGAGAAGGTTACAAATCAGTATGTCCTCTGACCATACGCCAAGTGGACAGCATCAACGTCAGACGTCACAACGCACCATTAATCAATGAAGTCGCAGCCGTATTCTCTGGCGGTGCCAGACACACAAACATTTCACGACGCGCTACAATCAGTTATTAGCTAAGTAGCCAGGAACAACAGGCCGCAATTTTCAAATACCCCAAGTTAATACTGTGACAGGCTTGCCCTTATCTAATAAAGATGGATTTTTATGCCTACGATGATTCGAGAAAATCTGAGCCGACACCCTGAAGCGCCGGAAACAGGCTACTGGACCATCTCCGGTGAGACGGCGTGCGCGCTGGCAGGTGGGATGGGATTCCCTGGGACCTAGAAGGCGATATCCTCCACTTCACTTCTGGCGCGAGGAGGCAATAGCCCGGGGCCACCTGCCAGCCGTGGAGTTGAGGGAGTGTAGACTAAGATTGCACTTACTCGCTCTCGCCGAGTGGGAGAAGAGGCTGGAGCACCCCAGTACCGGCTTAAGAACCATTCCGGTACTTAGTCAGTGGCTGGGCAGGCGTCACGGCACCCTCACTTCCCGGATTATGCAGGTTCTCTCGGGTCAAAGCTGTTTCGGGAGGTACCTGTGTTCTCCCTCCCCGCTATATGCTACCACTGCGGCGTATGTGCTGAGGAGACGGCCCAAGAAGTACTGGAAAAGAGCTGAGGAGAGGCCTATCGTTGGGCACAATCTCATAAAACGCAGCCCGCCATGGTTCGGGCATTGGTGGACAGAGAGAGGTCGTAGGGTGATATATTTGCATTCTGCGAGTGTATAATTATCCGGAAGGAGGCCGCGGAGAGAGAAAGGAAGCCAACTGCTACCCTGCAAATCCGCTATAGAGACCAGGGCCCCCCTGTGAACTCCGGGACGTGGGCTGTAGATGTAGGATTAAATGTTGCCTCGCGGAAAGCCTGAAAGGGGTACCGTGTTCATTGCTCCGACATGCCACCATATGCTAACGTACGGATAAAATCTGGATCGGGTCTGATCTGGCCTGAGAAGACCATTCACGGAACGATAATTCAAGTGATAACGCAGGTGCAACGGGGGTTTTTAGTGGATGTTACTCGGAAACACCCACGTATCCTTACCCATATATACTTCCTACCCACAAGGCGGTGGGGGATCCATAAAGGATTTTTCGCACGTAAAAAAGAAAATTAATATTCAAATGACAATCAGGGGGATACTCTGAAAAAGGGTGCACAATGCCGATCTGCGCTCAAGGTGAGAGAGTTTTTCGTTATATTAATAGCATCATTTGGACTTTCAAACCACCGACACTTATGGGAAAAGATTAAAAATGATATATTTTACAAAGATTATAAGAACACGATCCGAATTCTTCAAACAATGATTTAATTTACAATGATGCGCTAACAAAGGTTGAACTCCAAATGATAACTATTACTAGAAAAAAATTATTTGATTTTGGGATATGTGACTACGAAGAATTGGAGATGTTAGTAGAGACCGAGACTAAATTAAGACACTGCTCCTATAAAGCGATAAAAAAACGGAGGCTCTTTCACTTTTGAATCCAGGACAAAGAAGTCTTTTACGCAGTTTTTAATTAAAAAAATATGCCAGTAGCAAAGGTGGTTTGTTTTTGTTTGATGCTTCAGGAAGTACTGGCAAAACCTGCCTTTCACCTTACTATTTGCTCAAATCCGGAAAGATAAAGTTACTGTTACAGCTAGTGGGGGAGTTCTTTCTCAGTTCTTAAACTGCTATTGAACTCAGTTCATGACGAAACTTCAGTTTGTAACATTAGCAAAAGCAGTGGACACGGAAGAATGTTGCAGCAGTGGGAGCATGGATGAATGATCGATGTCCCACAAAGGAGCAATCGAAGCACTAGATGGCACAATCAAAGATATCAAGGACGACCATGTATCGTAGGAGGGATGGTGGTAGTTTTATCTGGTGACTTTAGTGAAACCCTGCCGATTATTATTAAGGGCACTTGCAGTAAACCCAAACACTTTGTATCCGTATTTTTTGCAATATTACAAATTTCTATGGCAACCCTTTCACTGCTCATTGTTCAAGCTGCAGTGCAGTTAGGTTTTATCTTTTAGCTATTTATAAAAAAAATATTATCTACAAATATTCATTTGTATTAATAATAATATTTTTTTTAATTATAAATAATGGTCAATGTATAAATGATAGAAATGTTGCGCTTAAAAATACAACATTTTTAGTAATACTAATACATAATAAATAACTTCTATAATAAACTGCGGTGGTAGGGCCACGCAGCAGCCTCGGCTGTTGCACAAATGAGCAGGCTCGTCCGGGTAAGTACCACGACCTCACAGAAGACCGACGTAAAGTGGAAGTATAATACTTTCGCGTTTCGTCTGGTGAATGAGGTGGCCGGAGCCGAATTCAACTGTCACAACAAACAAATTCGGTTGTCAACGCATCTGGAACCATCGGGCGTAGCAGATGTCCATAGGCGGCGGTATTCACTTAACATCAAGTGAACCGTCTGCTCGCTTGGCAACTTATCACACAAAAAAATACTTCTATAATAATAACTTCTGATACAATATTTTCGCCACATGGTTACAAATATGCTATAATTTTTCAGATCTGGTTGCATAATCCCGCCGAGCTGCCGCATATGAGTCAAAACTTCTTCAGATTGTCTTTGAAATACCAATCAAATGTGATAGTCAAACCGATATTAACGAAAACTTCTCACTACCTAGTGGATTATTCTCCTCTCAAGTGCGTATTGTATGTATATGTCACAACATTTTGTTTTATAAGTAAATCAAATGTTTTTAAATAATAAGTTGTTACTTTGTTTCTGACTAGAAGGTTAAGGTAATCTTTAAAAAAGGCACGATAATGTTTTTCTTAAAGGGGCCAAATATTTTCATACAAATAAATTAAAAGTACCCGGAGGACCGAGCTTTGCTCGGTTTGTTTTGTTTTTTGGTAAATCGTGTATTTTGGAACGCGAACCACGGCCGTCTGTTTTGGGGCCGCCCGATTACCAACCGAGCTATTATGACATTTTCTCTTGTGGCGAAATTTACCGTCATATTCGAATTATATTTTTCATTCCCTGAAAACAGTGATAAAAGGACATTTTCTAAAAACGAAACCTAGCTAGATTGATTTTTCGCCCCCGAATCTACGCACATACAAAATTTCGAAAATCGCTGGAGCCGTTTCCGAGATTTAAAGGATAAGATACAAGAATTGCTCGTTTAAAGGATAAGATAGACGTCAGACATCATGACAGACGTCGGCTAGGTTATCAAATTAAGTTTGATGACCGCAATATTGGACTGTTATTAAATGTAGTTTAGAAGTTATGACCTAGTAATTCACTTCACTTGTACAGAAACATCGCCAATAGGATAAAAATATTTGCACAAGGTCGGTTTCTTTTCTAATGTAATAACTACCTTATACTTTTTTTAAAACCTCGTTCATATATACCTACCTACATACGAATTAGATGCAATGGTAAAGGGCTCCTAATAAATAGTTTTTCCCAAAAAAGTAACTTAAAAAGAGGCATAAAAAGAACAAAATCATCTATATTCGAAAAAAATACTAAAAATGTAAGTTTGTTAATGATCGTGACACGAATCGCGGCTTTCTGTTTAGGGGCCCGCCCGATTACCGACCGAGCTATTATAATATTTGTTATTTCGGTGAAATTTACCGTCATATTCTAATGATATTTTTCATTCCCTGAAAACAGGGATAAAACTTATTAATTTGAATATAATAATTAACGTAATAATTTTTTTTTATTTATTTATTCTTTACTGAAAACACCTCAAAAAGGGTTACAAATCAGGTGAAGAGAAATCGTGGTAGGTGCAATAATAAAATTGCAATGTGAATTTAAGTGACTTAAACAAATAATAATATATGCATTATATTTTCTTAAAATTGAAACCTAGCCAGATCGATTTATCGCCCCCGAATCTACCTACGCACACACGTACTAAATTTCATGAAAATCGTTGGAGCCGATTCCGAGATTCCAATTATATATATATAAAAGAATAGTTCACTTAAAGATATACGCTAAGATAATCTATTAATATATTATATTTTTGTGTCATTCATTTCTAGGCGACGCTGTTATTTTTCAAAAGAACGGTATCTCAAATACTTTCGTACATATACAGAGAGCAACTGTCGTTTGGAATGCGCTGCCAATTACACCATTAAGCAATGCGACTGTGTTCCTTCATATTTGCCTCGTAAATACTAACATATTTTAATATTGTTTTAATTTGTTAATAATTATACCTTTCACCAAATGAAAAATGAACCAAATTATGAACAAACCCAATGGTAACCTGCAATAAACATATAAATGTTAGAAAATTAATGCCGAATATATAATTATATTCGCAATTTGCATTTCCGCTATAGTGACGATAGCTTGGTAATTGTTCCTCAATGAAGAATTTTTGTTTCTAAATGAAAAATTTTCGGCGATGTGAGATTTGAACATTTTTCCTCCTGGTAATGCGCCCAGACACTACCAACAAAGTAAGCGGCCGATGACCTCACGGCGAATCCGTCGAATACCGAAAGTTTTGGTTCATTTATTTAGGTTTTCACATTTTAGGTTTTATCTCGTGGACAGAGACAAGCACTAAAAATAATTAAATCATCAAATAGTTCATATGTTCTATGAATGACATTTGAAGTGTGGGATTATGCAAATGTTTATCTAAACAAAATTTCAATTAACTAAACTTTAGCGCGCCTTGATTTTCTTTCAGACGGCCCAAATACAAAAATTTGTGGTGGCGGGAAATCGCAATGCATTATTGAAGCTTTAGGTAAGAAAGTTTTTCTCCACTTTTAGTCTCTGGCTCATAAAATAGAATAGGCTTGTGAGTCTGTCACCTATCATTCGTTTACTCTGTTCTAGTTAATTAGAGATTAGGGGATGGTTTATTCTTGAACTATGTCATTGTCATACAAATTATATAGGGGTGGGTACCGGTGCGTTCCATAGGTGTTCCACAAAAAGATTTTTAGTTAGTAAGAAACACGTAGGTATAAAACTTTCTTACTCCCGAGATAGAGTAGATTTCCCCCTCGATACCAAAAATGTAAGAAATTCTTAACTTATAAAGGTATCATCATCATCATCATCATATCAGCCGTAGGACGTCCACTGCTGAACATAGGCCTCCCCCATTGACTTCCACTTCGACCGGTCGTTAGCGGCCTGCATCCAACGCGTCCCTGCGATCTTGGCTAGTACTATCAATAAAGGTATGCTTAACTTTAAATTATTTTCACATTGATTTCAACCGTCTAGTGATTTATTGTTATTGTAAAAAACTGAAAATAATATTAGGTATATCTATTTAAAGCTGTCGTTGTTTTTTGAGTTCCTTTATTTTCTTTGAACAATATTTTTTAAGTCGTTTGACGTATCGATGCTACTACACCCATCAGCAACCAAATAAACTCACCTATGGATCTACCGTGTGGGCTTACTATTCCCCAAACTGCAGAAGTGTTGGTTATTTAGGGCATACGAAGCTACCGGTCAATTCCCCGGAAGGCAGTGTTCCTGTTGGCCGGCTTCATGCCCCAGGACCTAGTAGTCTAGTCTCGTGAGAACAGCGTTGACAGTTGTGCGCTGTCGTAGGACATACTCTCTCGCTACATGCCGTGGTTCGCGCAATGGTTGACGGAAGAGGCCGTGAGGCTCGGTCTTCGTGTATTGCTAGGATGTTATCAAGCAGAAGGAGGTCGAGAGATTAAGGGAATCAATTAGGCGCTGCGGCAGTAAAGATCCATACGGGCGTGAAAAAGTCAGAGACGCCGCGGAAGATTGACACGGTTGAGGAAGGTCCAAAATTGCCTCTCACTTGATATTCCGTAAAATTATAATAAGTCAAGGGGGCCTGATGACTAGGTATCATTTCACAGCTTCGCGATCAGACATCATTTACCGACGTTCGTTGTTTTTAACCGACTTCAAAAGGAGGAGGTTATCAATTCTATTGATATATGTTGTTTTATAATTATTTTACTTCGTAATTTTTTTTGTATTTTACAGAGAGGGATTCTTTCATATGCATAGGACGATCAAAGCTGCCAGTACCTGTACTTAATTTTTTTAGTCAATGATATAAAAAATATGTTATTAAGGCCCATTTACACGATGCCATTTTCTTGTACATACAAGAGCAATAATTGAATGCAATAAATTGCGCGCAATAATTGTTTAGACAATTTGTTGTTTAGACCATGCAACTCATTTATTGCTTCAATTTAATTGTATACAAGAGGCAAGAAACTGGCACCATGTAAATGGGCCTTTAAACGTACGCCATAGGGAGCGCTCTAATAGTATGTTAATTGACATTTTTTTAAATTTACTATCACAGAAGAGCTATCACTTGCGAATTCAAAATTAGATGTGACAGCAAATGAAAAAAATAAGGCGTGCGGATGTCCAAAAGCCTGTACGGAATTAAAGTATATAACAGAAGTCTCGCAGGATATTTACGATATTGCAACCATGGGAAAATTGTTTAATCCAGATAATCCACAAGGACGGTAATTTAGACATTGATTCTTATTGATACATTAATTATATATAATATCAAATGTACAAGAAATTGAACTCGAGGGCTCTTCAAATTAAGTAGCACCTGGGTCGCAATCTTCATAATCATCATCTTTATCATAGCTTTGCCAGAGATTGTAGATAATTAATATATTCCATGCATAAAAGAAATTATGGTGCTATTTGTAAAGTAAGGACCCCTGCAATGCAACGGCGATGCCTCAAGACTACCTGTTCTTTGTGGAAATTATAATAATTTCCTATTATAATTCCGTAAAAATACTTATAGTTTATTTTTCAAACCACAGGCGCGTGCCATCCGGTTTAACGATTAAATTGGCTAAAGAAAAATTTACTTCAATGCGACGTTCGGAACTGTACAGCACCGTTGAATTCCTCGCACACTGCGGTGGGATAATGGGCCTTTTCATTGGTTTCTCGATCTTAAGCCTGATGGAGATAGTCTTTTATTTCACCTTGAGGTAAGCGTAACTTGTGATTATTTTAAGATCCGTGAATTTTCTAAGCTGTCCCTAGGTACCAATAAAATGAGCTAATAAAGCGCTTCACTATTAAAACCGCTAAAAAGACAAGGAGACCGAGACTCAAGGGCATGATTATGTTAGCTATTGCGTGGAAACTACACAGGGGGTCCCCACGGACCCAAAGTCTCAACAGTAAATGGCACAAATACATAATCTAAACATTAATAATAAATTATTATTATTCATAATACTTTTTTTTCATAATATGTTCACAGGTTATGGTGTGTGATAGTAAAAAATGATTGAGAAATCCAAAATGAAGCTCATTAACAAGCAGAAATACGTATATCGAAAATATAATTAGCATTTTATAACATCAATAATCGAAATATGTTTAACACGTATATTTATATATTTTTGAAAACACTTTTATGTTGATGTTATGATATCACATTGAAAATAGTTTTAAGTGTTCCTATTTCTGTGTTTTCTCTTGCACTGTATTATTGTATTTTTGAATGAATGAATGAATGAATATACTTTATTACACACCAAAAATAAAACAAACAAAAATTAAAACTTTATGTAGAAGTGATGGGTACAATGGGCGGCCTGATTACTAAGAGTAATTTCTTTAGTATTATTGTATTTTTCTAGATTAAAGTCTGCCATAAAGCTTAAATTATTTTATATTACAGTGATATTCATTTTTTTCGTTGACGTTCTTATCAAAATTTGTAATTCGGAGTTTTTTTATACACTATTAAAAATACATAAAATAAACGCTTGTATTTTATTTTACTTACGATAAATATGCTTTATTACTTTTTTTTGTTTTTGATGTTGAAGTTGCTAAGCTGGCTTCGGCACTGGAACTAGTGGCGTCGATTTCCACACAGGATAAATATTTGTGAAACCCATAGATACAAAGGTCACACTAAAAGTTTCCAGAACTGTTGTTCACGTATGTTCCCCTGCCACCACACTCTGATAGTTTTTCGGCAATTGCGATTTCATACAGTAGTGTTTGTTACGTATCTATTTCATCATTGACATAAAAGATAACAAAATGCCAGAATCATAGAAAAAAAAAAACAATTGCGTGTCTACATTAACATGGTATAAACTTGGGAAAATTTTCGTAGAATGACTTTCTACGATATTAATTGTAATTTGATAGTTCAGCCTCGCTCGGCTTCAGTCTTTTGCTGTGCTTTTGGCGATAAAGAATTTCATATTTTATTTACTTTTCAATTATCTTTGACAAATATTTAAGGAGATCAAAGCTCGCGAGTAAAAGCCGCGGGTAAAAGCTATCAACATAATTAAACTTAGCTATTAAGAGCTTATTCATAATGATATGGACTATGAATTGAATCTAGTCCCCAGATTTTTAACTATTTAGGATATAATGACGATAATAAGGCTTTATAGCAATTAATAATATTGCAATGAATTAACTTCGAATTCAAATTCAAATATCTTTATTCAATATAGAAGCATTACATTATATTGAAACTGTCAAAAAACACTACTACCGGTTCGGAAAAAAGAACCAATTTTTATCAAATTTTGTAAGCATTTGTAATTTGGTCCAACTTGGTCGATAGTTTTATCTCCATATTTGTTGTTGCAAATTATTTGTTTATTAGATGACAAAGAGCTATCTGTGAGTCCCATAAGATTCTAACAGATGGCGGTGTAAGATAAATTTATCGGCTAGATACGCTAAAAATAGAAACATGGCGCAGGCGAAGTTGCGCGGGTCGGCTAGTAATACTATAATAGCCTTTAACACACAAACTTTCCTATACAAGTCTTTTAAATTTAGCAACTGATTCATTTTGAACATTTTCTGGGATTTTGTTGTAAAAGCGTATACAATATCTCATAAAAGATTTTCATATTCTACGAAATCTAGATGCTTACTACACCACGGATATGGTTCTTGTTAACAGTAGTAAACTTAAAGTTTTCTTTACATTCCATAACATTTCACAAGCTGACTCATTGTCAGGCAACTGTCGGTGAAGAGAGAAGTTACTTGGTTCTAAAAGTGGAACTGGAATGTCAGCGAATTTTCTCGAAAAATCTCCCTGGCAACCTCCAGATTTAACGGAATAGTACTAATACAAGCAGTTAAGATTAAATCAAAGATGCGCTTCGTGACTCTACCTTTTTCAGTATTAACCATATGCCATTTCATTTAAATTTTATCAGATGCGCTTTTTATTTTATTCTTAATAAATATTGATTTAGCCAAATAAGAAAACTTTTTTAAATATTTTAAATTTCCTATCGATTTTCTCCGTTCCAATAAAACAAGGTGGCAATAAGCAAATCGAGTGTTTTTTCCGATCTATCTATCTCTTTCTAGCATTTTACAAGCGCTACAAGCCTTTAATAAAATTATATCTCGCTACAATATAAAAGGAAGTTGAGGCGGTAGCTGAGTTTTTCTAGTCGCCGCTTGATTGCGTTTTCGACTCCACAATCTGTAAAAAAATTGGAATAGATAATGAGACTTTTCTAACCTCAAAAATTTTAAGCTCTCTATATAATTATCTCAAAAGTGTTTTTATTCTTTTTTTATGGGTTGCAAATGCGTGACCGACCAAATTTATATTAAAAACAATTAGCTCGTGTACACCACATACCAGACGAAACGCAAAAACATAATAGTTCCACTTAACGTTGGTCTTCTATGAGGCAGAGGTACTTGCCCGGACTAGTCTGCCCATTAGGGCAACAACAGAAGCTGCATTAATCGTTATTTTTATTTATAAAGAAGCTGTACTTTTTTATTACCATCTATTTAATTTATTCTTTCACATTCATTGGTAAATTATTTGGCATTTATTTACAAGTTTAATTTTGTTGATGAAATCAGATTAGTGGAGTAATTACTAATTAATAAGCCATGATTGACAACTTATTTCCACGAGAAACAATTTTTTTTGTAACATATTAGCTGTGTATTATTTTTATTTTAATGTGTTTGTTTTAGTTGTATTTTTTTCTCTGAAACATACATTTACTTACAAATACGTGAATCTATCTATATGTTATGTTTGCCTATAATTTGGATGTGCAAATAGTTTCAAGCATGGACCTAAGAAAGCAAGACCTAAGAAAGTTTTATTGTCACATCTGCAGGTGAGCTTAACAAATTTAAAAAAAATTTGTAGGCGTTCAGAAGCGGTACGCTATAATTAGCTACAATTTAACATTGAAAATTTTAGATTAGTTTATACCTCAATATCAAGAAAAATAATATTTCAGCCAGACTTAAAAGGGAAAAGCCAAGGAAGACTCCCAGGAATCCGCCGCAGAGCGCGATCATGTCAACAAAAGTTGTAAGCTCTGAACGAATCATTGATGTAAATAATTCCGTCGTGAAGTGCAGATTCAGTGCGGAAAGTAGGCGCCTGTGAAAACATTGTTATCAATATAGCGATAGTTATTTTGGTACACTACGCCTGGTTTCTGAAACACTGATCATGGTAGAAGTCAACTAATCAGCTGTCAAATGGCTTTTCAAATGTTATTTAAGTTGTCAAAAAAGCCACTTGACAGCTGATTAGTTGAATTCTACGGTGATCAGTGTCTCAGAAACCGGGCGCAACAGTTATAATTCAGTATGCGCTCAGATCCTTTCACCGTCAGAAGAACCATCTCGCGATCGAAATATCAGAGATAAGTGACGTTCGATGAAGCAGTTATTTTTACGGGTTTTTATACATGGACTAAAAATGGTTATTTGTGTTATATGGGCAGTGTTGTCAATCTGTAACTTCGATGGGTTCGATATATACCTATATCCCTTTCCTCGAGTGGATCGGATCAATGAGGACGTTTGTGAACGGTCGCGTATTGGTTTCGTAATTCACTGCGTTTACCGTTAAACCCAAAAAAAGCTGAAAAAACGTTTGGTTAGCGCTCTTAAGTGTTCATAGCGTCAGGAGTCTTTTTTTAAACTGATGTTTTTGCTTTCGGTCCCGAGACTATTAAAGCTTCATCTGACGCAGTCAGGAGTCTGCAAACCCTATGCAGGCTGACGTTCCGCTGTATCACCGGTTTCTAGTTGGATAAACTTATTTTGACCTGAAGTTTGTAAAGTCGATTTATTAATTCTTTTCTTAAGATTCGCCAACATTGGAATTAAGCAAACAAATTAAATTATTTTTTATAACATAAACATCATAATCAACTCCCTGCCCTTATCCCTCCTAGGTGGGGTCGGCACAACATGTGATTCATGTTGTGAGTGGTTTTGGCTATTTTTTTTCGACCGGCCGCCTGCCTGACGTCAACCCTCTTTGGGAAACAAACTTCCAGATCCGGAACAATTATCTGTAGGTCACACAAATACTTGACCCGTGTGGGAATCGAACCCACGACCTCCGACGCTGTAGCCAATAGCTTAGTAACGGCGCCACCAAGTACTTACACCATAATTAAATTTAATTTAATTAGGTAAGATTAGTATATTGTTATAATTATTACTATTTTTTTTAAATAAGCGTATATAATTATACATATTTATCTAATATTTACAAGATTAAATCTATCTAAAATTGCATATTACATAATTAATTAAAATATAAACTTGATAAAAAGTTCACAAAAGTAAAATACCGTTTTGTAGTAATATCTGCATTATTTCTAATAAAGTCTAAAGGATCATAAACGGCTTGTGACACGTCTGCATCGTACTCAAGTTCCAAACAAGCCTGTAGACACCCGCAATTTGTATGTTGTTCTCTTGCCTCTATACTGGGAGGCATTTTTTGAAGTAATAGCATTTCTAAAATAAAATCGGTCTTTAAAGACATATTCAATCTCGTATTGTGCAAGTATCGCATCGCTTTCTACTCCTATTAGCACTAGGGAAGGCTTTTGTATTTTATTTATTCATCAATATAAAACATCCAAGAATATTCACAAACTGGCTGTACGGTACAGTAATATGTTTAAAATGACACATTAATCTTACCTAAAGCTTTCGATATACATTTAAGTTTCCCACCGCCGCAAATTTTCGTAGATGGACCGTCTGAAATAAAAGTGACGAAATACATTTACCTAATCCTTGTTTTTGAATTGAAATGTGTATACCATAGAGATATTTTTAAAATTAGAGAGAAAACAACATATAGTTGTCAAAATATATACTCTATATATATAATATATACTAAGTTACTAATGATCTACTCGTATGTAAAAAAGTTTTATTTCCAAAATATGTAATACATTTTGTCTGTCAACAAATTCTATAGATTCTATGAGCTATAAGACAAAAA